CCTCATCTCTCCTGTGGAACACAGAAGCCATGTGGTTCATCAATTGCAAATCTCTGACTAAAGTGGTTTGGTATCTGAGTTCACTTACTGTCTGTCTTGTCATCTGTTCTTATAGTCTTACTAGGACAAGAGCAGAGGGAGGCTACATGCAGGTTAGGACAGCTGGAGCACAAAAGTATCCATATCAATGAGCAGCACAAATGAGATCGGATTTGCCCAACTGGTAAAAACCTGTTGGAAGTGTGTATCTATCAGCCAGGGACTCACTTGATCCCACATCCAAAAGCAGAAAGGCCTCTGTGGGGCCCAACATGATCTAAGCTTCTCTGGATATACAGAGTCCGAGTGGTCTAAGACTTGCTCTAGCACAGAAGAAAATCCAGCTGGACAACACATGTTGGAAAAGCATTTAAATAACTACTTTGAGCAATCTTCCACGTGGATTTCACCCTCAGCAATTCATTTTTTGTCTTGTTTATTCATTTGGGTTAGATAATGGAATCCTATGTAAAAGATGCCTGGATATCAGCCTAAAGAATCACTGCCAGGAGTGTTTGTAAACTGGGTGGTAGAAGTCCAGACAGCTGCTTTGCAAAATTCACCTGTGGGAACATCCTTCCAATGTACAGTGGAGATGGCCCAAGCTTTTGTCTGTCCACATGAATGTACCCTGATTAAGGTATTTTTTACAGCATAGAAATGCTCACTTTTTAACTATCACCCAAGGACCACAGCTACATAGGCAAGCTCACAAATGCCAGGTCAGATAACAAGAGAAAAACATACTTTCAGAATTGAAAGTACAGAGCCTCTTCCCAGGCTGTGGTGAAACATGGGGAAGAGAACCAGCAGGGAACTTGATTTGTGGGAAAACCCTGATCTAAAGTGACCTTGTCGTATCTGTGTGGAGATGCTCTCGACATAGTCTGGAAAACCCTCATCCTGGAGGCTGATATATTGCATATTAAAGTAGTCTCCACTCAAAGGATCTACAAAGTGCCACCAGAGACACGCTGGCAAAATCATATTGAGGTTGTAAGAGGAAGAAACCAAGGGACTCGTGAACAAGATCCCAAGGGAATCCTGTCACCATGGGACGAAGAGAAAACAGACTGTGGAAGCTGGATAACATTACAATATTTCTGCATACAGATTTCTTATGGAACAACAAATAGTTCACTCTCATTGAGATAAGACACAGAAAAGGAAAAGTTTGCTGATATATTTTTAAAAAAGGCTTTTCCACTCAGTTTTCCAAATCAATCTCATTGAGAGCTCCAAACCTGGCCAAACATCTTCTTCTGGTGGATGTCATCAGGCATTCAGGCTTTTGGGTGCAGTGATGTTAGAGCCAGGAAATAGGTTTGACTTTCATTCTACAGAAGTGTGCAGAAGTCCTGTTAGGATGGGCTAGCAAAGATCTTCAACAGATCTCATTATATGATCTGTCTCTCCCATTATACAAATAACATGACCAGCTTGAGTTTCTCCCATTTTGTCAAAAACTTGATACCATCAGAATGAGTAAATGTAACACATCAAGTCAGAGGATGGGTAAGGCCTCTGTCCCTCTGAAAATGAATGTTTGAAATCTGGAGTTCTGGCATGCAGCTAGCAGATTTATCTCTAGGAATTCCCACTTGAAGCATATTCCCCTGGGTGCGCAAGAAGTGCCTGTCAATTTGCCAAGGAGCTCTGAAGGCAAGGTACATGCACAGCCTTTGCTGCAGGAGGATGCATCAATTACAGCAAATAATCATGTTCCTTCTTGCCTCGCGAAATAATACATAGCAGCAGTGTTGTTAGTACTTGTACTTCTGAAAAGGCAGGAATGCTCTGCATGTCAGATGGCAGACTGTGAGCTTTGTGACCTTTTGTGAGCCCCTTCAGGAGACAGAGGTCTACATTTGAAGATAATGCAGGTACTTCCACACAGGAATGGGAATTGCCAAATAAAGACCTGGGCAGAGGAATTACAGATTTGCTGCTATAGTTAAGAATATTATTGTGGGAGATACATACACATAACAGGCGCTGAAAAGATACTGAGATATCAGACTGTCTTCATAGAGCTCGAGGGAAGTATATTGGGCTACAAGGCACAAGACATTAGAGTTGGGCCCAGAGAAGGGAGTTTTAACAACGCATTTGTGAGCAAAGACACACAGTTTGGAGTCTCTTTTGGAAGGGGGAGCCCAGGTCAAGGAGAGATCAGCAGTAACCTGATAAGATCTATGCTCCAAGTCAGATGATTTGCCTATTGACTTCAAAACAAAGATCTTTTTAACTACATTAATTGTTCCCCCTCAAAGTGAATTTCATTATAATAAGCCCAAATGTTGAAACATGGATAGACAGGTACTTTTTGCTTCCTTCAAGCAAGCTGGTCTGCCTGGAAAAGACTTCCTGGATGTTTCCCAGTGTCATGAGAAGACCAAAACAATAGCACAAACGGTATGTTCATACCAGAAATTTGAGCTGGGGGGAAACTGAGTGGATTGGCATGGAACTAAAAAAGAAAGAGTCAAAATGAATTAAACCATTTTTAAAACCCTGAGGAACCTTTATAGGTAGAATCACCATCCTGAATGCGAAACTGAAGTTGTGAATATGGCAAAGGTTAAAGACAAACCCCTTTGTCTTCAAAATCAGTAATAAGAATAAAATCTCTTATGCTGAAAGACCAGATGGCTGAGTGAGACATCCATTGTAACAGCTGACCCCACCACTTAAAAGCAAGCCAAGGTCAAGCTTCCAGAAAAGTAAAAGGTGATTTCCAATCTACAGTGAAGGAAAAAACAATATTAGTTCTATTAAATGCTCACTTTGGTATCAAATATGGTCATGTATGAAAAGCCTCCAATTCCTGAGCAAAGGAAAAGCTGACGATTATTTAGAGTGGATTTTGTCTCTCCTCCAGTAGCTCCAAGGTTTTCAATTAACAGAAACATTTAGCAACAAAGACCTGTCTGAAGAGAAACTATTGACACAAACAATTCTTCCTGGTGGTTCAGATCCAGTAATAACATATTTGAATGTTGTAAGGCGTGGAAGGCCTCACCCTTCTGCTGCTGAAAAGCCAAACCGAACACTGTAACTATTTCTTAGTCCTTTCCAGGGGTGCCCAAGGACTGGAGTCCCTATGATCTTTTCCCAGCTGTTACAATGGCTGTGATGAGACACACCAAGCGCAACTGCAGTAACTTACAGTCAATCAGCTGTACCCTTACATAACACCCCAGTCTCTTTCAAACCAGGGAATCAGCCTATGAACTAGGACGGCCAGTGCCAGTAAGAGAACAATCTGACAGTGAGCCACCCTAATCTGGAGGCCAAGCAATGATTACACCCCCTTAAATGACCATCTGGTTTCTTTAAGACTGTTTTTGCCCACGAGGCCCATGGTTATTTCTATTTCTTAAATTACATCTTCTCCATATTCCCTCCATCCTAAATGCCTACAGCACATCTGAGGAGGGGAGAATGCATAGGTGGGACATGATTCTCCATTATGTCTACTAAAAGAAAAGAGCATACTTTCTCCAGAAGAAAAAAGCCTGCTCTATGAGGCATTATTGTAAGCTAAGCCATTAAAGTGTATTTTCAACAGCATCCCAGGGTCTCGAAGGAATTATTCCCCCTCAGCAAACCATTTCATCACAGATGGCTGGGACACAACTACTCAGTGTAAATGGAAAGTTTTGTCACAGCACGGACGATCAGGGAGTAGCCAATTCCAAGGCAGAAGGCCCTAGGGCTCTGAGCAGAGCAGCTTGAAGCACACTTGGAGCCAAGGTGGCTGGCAGGACAAAATGGGTTTGAAATTTAAAGAAGCCAAGAATATGGTATGCTGGAGACTATGACTGGCACTGCAAAAAGTTAAGCATCACCTCATTTAAACAAATATCACTGTTGTCAATAAGGTGGAACTCTGATGACACTTTTGTCCATTTGAAAATATCAAGGAGCAAAATCTCTATGTCATTTCTTGAGAAGTGCTCCTTCCAGCTGGAGAGGCCTGTGGAGAAGCCATGCTAACATCCAAGAGCAAAATTCCAGGTAGAATTTGAGCATTCTGCAGCACTAAGCAAGAAAGTGAATAGAAACAGTTCTCATATTTCTGGATACAAGAGGATGTTGCCTCACTCTCCTGAGAAAGAGGGGTTCCAGACCCCCTTCTACCATTTGAAGATGTACTGATAGAACAGATTCTGAACAAACGTTTTCCTCCAAAGAGAAGCGGAAACTGAGTTTGCACATTATTACCCACAAGACAAAGTCTCAGATGCTGCAAAGCTGGCTCCTAGCATGACCTTTGTAGCCTGTGCACGGAGGAAAGGAAAAAGAGCATCACTACACAAACTTTATAGTGGCCACATCAGATACTGTACTCTGCCTCTAGCAAAAGCAAAGCACAAAAGTAAGGCATCTGTTTACCTGTACTCTGTCTTGCTTCCACAGATGGTGGCAAAACTGGTCACAAAATGATATGCCTGCTCATATTTTAATTCTGGGAATCAAAATATTGGGAAGGTATGCACGCACAGGAGGGAGAGGGCCCAAGTCCTGTATGATACTACTCTCCATACTTCACACATAAGAGACCATAGCCCTGAATATGGTCCTGTGTGAAAACTACACATCACGCAAAGGGCAACACCAGGAAAGGGACAGGCAGTCACACGGGTCCCAACTCTAAGGACAAGCTTCAAAGGACAGAGCACACCACGCAGGAAAGAAATGAAGATTCTTCCTCTGGAGTCACCAGCAGGATAAATTACAGGTTCTCCTGACAGTACACCCACCTCTCCAAGACAAGCAGACGGGGAATTCTTCCTGATGAGATTTTCATCTGCCAAGAGGTCCTGGCGGGCTCGACGTCCCATCTTTAGTATCTGGAGCACAGGGGGAGATACGAAAGAGCGGAGGGCACAGGGTTACTGATAAAAGCTGTTTCAGAGCAGGGGGTAGAAGGCAAGGCACGGCTGTGCCGTCGCGCCATGCCCCGCAGCGAGGCGCGGTGCCCTCATATGTGGCGCAAAGGCATCACAGTCGCAGGTGTTCACCCCGCGGCCGCCTCCCGCCACGCCAGGCGGCTGCTAAGGACCCGGCGGCCGGCGCACGGCAGCCAACCGGCGGGCGGTACTCAGGGGGCGCCCAAGCCGCCTCCCCGCCGGGTGCCCTCCGCCCCGCGCTCCGTCCCGGACCGCCTAAAGCCCGCGCCGCGCTTCGGAGAGGCCGGCCTCACCCGGCCCGCTCACCCCCGGCGACGCCCCACCGTCGCGCGCGCCCCGCTCGCTCTCGGCTTCAGCCTCACCCCATCCGCGCCGCCGGCCGGGTTCCGGCGCACTAGCCGCCCCGTCCGCCCCGGCGACCGCGGCCCGGCAGAGACAGCCGGCACTGAACTGCGCGCCAGGAGCTCCGGACAGCCACGGCAACATCCAGCGCCCTGGCAATCCTTAAACCTTGGCCTGACCGCCGGTGACGGCAGTGCTGCAATACGTCATGCAGGTGCTCTGTTACCCGGTTTTAATCCCACGTGCAGTGGGGCAGGTCAGGAACAGCCTTCCACTCCGTCTTCTACAGCTTTTTGCCCGTAGACACTTTTTAAGTTCCCACTAAGGCAAATAATCCCAGCCTTGCAGATTTGTCTCCTCACAGAGGCTTCTGCCAAGTCTCCTCATCGCTGGTGATGCTCTTCCCAGTTCTCTCTGGCTCTCTAACACTGCTTTCCAGATGGGGCAGCCGGTCTCCAGAGTGCAAGTGGAAGCAGTCCCAAGGATCAAATATAAGCACAACGATCATTACACACGTGCCTCGCAAGCATGAGTTGTGCAGAGATTTCCACTGAGCTGCATAAAACGTCCCCAGTCTGTTTCTTGACTGGACAGATGTATAGATTAATTGTAAATAGATCTGTTTTTAGCTCCATATGTTAAATAAACATTCAGTTTTCCAGTGCTTTGTCCATTTGCTTATATTTTTTCTGGCATCTCACATTCCTCAGAATCTTCAACCATCCTCATTAATCTAAGTAATTGTCATTCATTTATTCTGCTGCAACAATAAAGAACTGTACCACACCACCAACTACACTGTTAATACTTTGCCATGATGAAAATTGACTGTGTAACCCTAAACTTTTAAGCCTTCCAAGAATACCTATTACTAAAGGCATGAGATTTCACTCCCTACCTGCTTAGCTTTAGTAGCAGCTCATGGTTTGGCTGAGGAACTTTCAGAAGTCTAAATAAATTGTATCAAATAATTCTCCTTTTTTCCGTTCCTTACTGACATGTTCAAGTTGTGCTGTGATGATCTAAGGACTAAGTGAAACAAGATTTGTGGGCAGAGGTAATAACTTTTTATTAGACCAACTGATATGGCTGGAAAAAACATACAAGAAGTGTTTCTGTGCCTGAAAGCTTGTGTGTTTTTTCCAGCTATATCAATTGGCCTAATAAAAGATATTATCTCTCTTTACAAACCTTGACATGTTTAAGGAATTCGGTAAGTGAGACATGATTTTCCTTTTTTGAAGCCAGGCTCGTTGGGCTTTGTGAAATTATGATCTTCCAGATACTTTGTGCTTCTGTTTTAATTACAGATTCAAATATTCATGAAGTATAGAGGGCAGTTTTCACCTAGCCCATGCTTCACCACCAGGGCCACGGGAATATGGCCCTGCATTTCCCAGTTCCCACCCACTCCTACAAAGAGCTGCTGCAACAATGCAGCTACACAGATGCCAGGAGATAGAGGGGACTGTGGCTCTGGGGTTACAGTAACCACTGCAGGATGTCCAAGTACAGGCATACACTTACAGCTGACCTTGATCAGAAAAACAGCATCCCAAGAGGAGCATGATAGCACCCAGAGCAATGTCTGCTAAAGCTGGAGGGCATCCCTGAGGTGGGAATCCTTGGGTAGGAGTGCACTGCCAGCATTGTGGCCCCAGACAGGTAGCTGGCAGTGTGTTCCTACTGGAGGCAGCGTAAAGACAGTACCCGGGGCCATCCTGGACAGGTAGATCATGAAGCAGCAGGAACAGCAGGTTCACCTGTTTGGAACTGCCCCCCCTCTCCAAGCTCCATCTCACAATTCCTCCAGGTCCTCATCCCAGACACCATCCCACATCCACTTCCCAGCTCCCCTCAAGACACTCTGTGTGCTGCTTGCTGCCCACCCCAGGGACAGAAGTCTCAGGCAAATAGAGGAAGGGCACAGTCCATGTGCAGGAAAGAAAACATTTAAGCACTTGGGGAATTGAGCCTTGCCTCAGAACTTTGACTTCTGAATTAAGAGATTCTCAATAGGAGAAAAGAGCAGATGTGTAGAAAGAATGAAACCCAAAATCTGTCCTGCTTTGAGTCCCTCCGGACTCAGTTTATTGAAATGGGGTTTGTTACCCACCCTGACACAGTTCTGCCTGCTTAGGGAGGGCAATGGGGATAAAGGAGTTTTCATCCATTGTTTCGTGTTGTGGCTAAAATAGATCTTGCTTGCTTTAAGCATTGGGGTCACCTTTTCTGAATAATTTAATTCTCCTCTGTCCTACTCGTGAAACCACAGGCATCATTTGACCTTGGGCCTAGAGCAGCTCCACTCAACCTACTGAGAAGGAGCCAGGTAGCAGGACAAACGTCTGGTGCTGCTGTGATTATCCAAAGCCATTTTTTGTGCTTGCTTCCTGTCCAGTTCAAGCCTGTGGTGCCAGGGTTTCTCTTTCCCAGTGTAGAGTTCCAGGTATATTCTCAGGTCTCAGTCTGCCTTACTTGTTCAGTTTTGCTCTCACTATAAATCACACTGCTGCCACCCCCTCTCATCTGAACAGCAAGTAAGAACTACACAAGCATTCCTTTCACGGACAAGTTCTTACATCTAAGCATGGACTCTCTCCATCTGGTTTCAACCCAAACCTGATCATGCAGAATAGGACTAACAGAGTCCCCCACTAGCACTGTTTACTGTTGATTACCCCTTGACTGGACAGATGTATGAATAGAGCTTGTGTCTGGTCCTCCTACCCATGAGAAAGCCATGAGAGTCTGGGAAAGCAATCACACTTGAGCACTCCCATATGCTTCTGGTCCTAGACCACCTTTAGAGAGAGGGCACCCATGTGTAGTTAAAGCTGCAGCTATGGTGGAAAGCTGACATGGTAGCACAATGACCACCTTATTCACAGTGGCCAAAGGTTTTGTTAAGTAGCTCCCTGGCAGCAGTAAGATTTATGGGACACAGGGCAATTCCAGTTGCAACAAGTGACACAGTGCTGTGCCTTTCCTCCTCACCCAATCCTCACATCGGGCAGCCAGCCAGATTCCTGATTTTGACATGGGCCAATTCACTAAAAACAGTAAGCTTCCACTGGGAAGCAAAGTGCTCAGCAAAAACTGTTGCTGTAGGCTGCTCCACACTAGCAGCACACTGGCAGCTCCAAGCATCTCAGTTTGATTTTTCTGCAGTTTTTTCTCCACGCACCTCAAAGGATTTACCTCATTTTTATGGGGTTTTGCAGGAGGGAAATAACTGCAAATATTCTCTTATTTCTGTGGGCTCCAGAACAAAATCTCCTAACAATTGCAAAGTTTCAAACAAGAGGTTCCTCCCTCTGGAAGGGAGGAAGGGGCTTTGACAGGCTTTGACAGGCAGCAAAGGCCCATGCATTTGCCTGTCTTGATCTCCACAGGAACAGATGCTGTTCGGGTTACATCTGCTCCAGCTCAGACTGTCAAACCCCAGCCTGAGTTGCCAGGTGTGAAATATTTCCTATGACACTCACACGTTCAGTAGCCATGTCAGGCTCTCCCTCAGCCTAGCTGGATTCCAGCATGTCCAAGATGTGCAAACTGTTAGTGACTGCTACTTGCAACCACCAGTGTTGGTTCCACTGAATGTCAGACCACGGAGATTCCACACCTCTCTCATCCCACAGAGCAACACCTGGAGCAGAAAGTGAGTAGTCCACCATACCTACATCTACTAGCACCACACCTACATCTGCTATTATTTCCAAGCAGTAAGTCCCCACTGTCAACTTGTAATAGAAAAATCTGATTGCAGCCATTAACAACATAACCTTACATTTTGTACTATTGCATTCATCCAATTTCTACTGTGTCAGCCTTCGAATTTGCTTACACCCAGTGCTCCCCTGTATTGACAATGCCTCCTAGTTTTGGATAAGCAGCCAATTTCATTAGCACATCCATTTTGGCATGCCAAGATCATTAATAAAACCTGGGCCTGGGACCAGCCTCTGGGGAACTCTCTTAATTTCTTATAATTTCTGTACTTATCTCCATCTTAACTAATAATTCACCATACGGCACCATAGTAAATGGATTACTGAAGTCCAAAGCAATCAGTTCTACTGCATTTAGTGTGACCTCCAACCTAACACAGAGTAGAGGAGGTCCCAGTGCAGAAAAGCATCCAAAATTCATTTCAGAAGTGCCTGGGGAGCTCTAGAAACATCCATCCCAATCTACGTTAAAATACTCCATAGATTGTTAACGTCAGCACTCAGAATTTGCACCTTATTCCAAGTTGTGATTTCCCTGACATCATCTTAGAGCCACTAGATCTTGTTACATCTTTGTCTGCTCCATCAAGGAGCTCAAATTCCTCTTCCCCAAGCAAAGCACAAGCAAACAGTGAGCAGCCCACTGTTTTGTCTTCTCAGAGCTGCAGGGAATGGGCTCAACAGGCATCCAGCACCCCCAGGTGCCCAATGGATTTCCTGTCAACCTCTTCCACACTGTGAGTGAGCCACTGGTCTCTGAGCTGCCAGTACTCTCCCTGCCCCAGGCCCCTGAACATGTAGGCGAGGGAAGGCTCCCTGCAGCTGTGCCTGGTGTTTCCAGATGCACTGTTGCTGGACACCACTGCTTCAGGCACAGGGGTCACATGCGCCTGGAGCCCACCTATCCCAGAGCATGAAGATCCAGGACTTGCTTCCGCAGGGAGTTCTGCCCAGCTCCCACCTAGCCCATAGTCCAGCAGCAGCTGTCACTGCACCACTTTCCCAGCACATCACCAGACCACTGGCAGTGCTTCGAGCGGCTGCCATGGTTGGGAAGGCACAAAGCTGCCACCTGGCTCCAGGAGCCTCGCCGGCTCAGGGGCTGCCCTTCTGCTTGCCCCAGGAGAAGCACTGGGTAGTGGGGCCGGGAGTCCCTGCTCGCCTGGGGCAGGGTCCAGGTGAGGGCAA